TCTGTAGAAATAACCATCCAGACCAAACAGATCAACCAACCTAACAGATTAGCTGCTGTAATCTGGGCGCTGCTCCATTGGTTCATTAGGCTGTAACTTTTAATAAAAGTTCTTATTCGAAATAAGGCAATTCAAAGTTTTTGGTTTTTTTCCCATTTTTTTTTAAATTGAATTGTTAAATTGAAGTAGAAGCAAAGAAATTCACTCTCTGCAATTAACCCATCCCATTTAAGGAGCAGTGAGCTACACACCAGGGTGCAGCTGGAGATAGGCGCCCGCTCAAACATCAACGCCACACTAACATTCAACTGTTTAGGGAGAATCTACTGCTGATCTCCTCCGGCCCGGGGTCTTTCTGCATGGAGTTTGCATGGTCTCCCTGTGCATGCGTGGGTTCTCTCCAGGTACTCCGGCTTCCTCCCACAGTCCAAAAACATGACTGTTAGGTTAATTGCCATCTATAATAATCCTTAGGTGTGTATGTGATTGGTTGTTTGTCCTGATTGTCTCTGTGTTGCCCTGCGATGGACTGGCGACCTGTCCAGGGTGGACCCCGCCTCTAACCTATAGACAACTGGAGGAGCGTTCCTCCCCCTGTACTATCTTACAGGCTTCATGTCTACATTTCCCCCAAAAAGTGATTAGAAATGTATCCATGGAAAAATGTTCCCCATTTAACACCTTTCAAAAGATAATGGTTTTAAGTAATTTATGAGTATACAAAAGTGCACTGTATTTTCATTTTTTTTTTAGATTAGATTTTTTTTCTCGTTTTCTTTTTCCAAAAATGTTTTTTTTTTTTTCCAGATGTCATTTTCCAAATACATTTTGTTCAGATTAACTTTTTTGTTTTAATCTTCCAAATTCCATTCTAAGTTATCCAGAAGCTAGAAGCAGGTCGGGTGGAGCCAAATGGATCTCCTTGGTAACGGAGGAAAACCTTGGAGGACTGTGTGATCAGCTGACCTTTCCAGGTATGAAGCAGCACAGGTTGGAGTCCACATACTTCATGAAGGTCATGTTAAGCAGAGAGAGGCGCGTCTCCACAGCAGCCAGGATGTCAGCATGACGGGCCAGCGAGTGGTTTCTCCTCTCCGACTCCCGCCTGGACACATGAGGAAAACAGAACGCCATAAACGGGACACATCTGGCTGTTTTCGATAGACTACCCTCGAGAGTCAAAAGGTCAGGAAAAGTCTGCATCAGTGTGTAGGCCCAGAGATGCAACCCAGTCAAATAAACCTGATTTTTTTTTCTTCTTCTGAGTGATAAATGCATAAAAGGCCCATGGCGGTGCGCATGGAGTTCACCCAAAAGGCCTCTGGGGGACTCAGAGCACAAGTGACCAGAGTCTCTGGTCTGATGACCCAACAATTTGAATATGAATGGCATCTTTGGAGGGTCTGCAAAACGGAAACAACTAGAAACCGGAAAAACCCAAAACTTTCTAAAAACACATGACCCAGGAGTCCTTATCAGCTGTGCCGTTTTACATTAGAAGAACGGAGACACGCCCGTCTCTCTGTGGAGCTGATAGTGCGCCAGATGTTCTGTAAAAAGTCTGAAACACTGATGGGTGAGCTAAGCTGGCGGCATCAGTAGGAGGAAACATATCCATCAGTTAAAACCTACATGGAGCTGAATTTTTAAATGAAAGTCAAACATGTGAATACATTTAAGAAATCACAAATTTACAAGCAAAAACCAAAAAAAATCCTCATAATAACTCAAATTGTGGGAGTTTGATTCAGAAATGAACCCAGATAAAAGCCGTTCCACCCCTCACCAGCTGGTGGCAGTAGTTCACCTGAAGCAGAGAAGCATTGACTAGATGTTATACTTTAAAAACATCACTTCAGCATCCGATCGACAGCTTTGTTTTCATATTCTCACTCTTTTTCTAATCTGCATTAGCGCCACCAGCTGGTGAGGAGGGTCACAGCCTCATCAGGGCTGTAGTTTCATACAAGCTTTCAATTTAAAGTTGTTGAAACTTTGTCGCTTGGATTAATAACTTTTAAACTTTTATTTTCACAGATGAAACTTTTGCAGCTGACAAATTAAAATTTATTGACGTACATTCACAAATTTACACATCTTTTTATTGACAGTAATCCTCCCCCATATATCAGAGTAGGAAGGCAGGGAGGCTGGAACTGCTGCCAAAGGGCGATTTCTAAAGTGACCTACCTCTAAAAGATCGGCAACCACCTCCAAACCTCATTGTCATAACCGCATATCTAGTGTAGAATTTAGAATAACCAGATGAGCTTCATCTGAAACATGAGGAAATGTGGGCGGGGTGCAGCTCTGGGAAAACTTTCCAGATGCTCTACATTCTGACTACTGAACTTCTGCAAACTTTTGGTTTTGTTTCACTTAAAAGCTTTTCTAATTATACCTCCTTAAACCACACCCTGCTGACGAAAGAGGAAGATCAGATAAAGAGAAAACAGGCTGTTGACCTCATGAACTGTTTCCATGGGCGGTTCTAGACAGGGGCCAACGGGGCCAATGCCCTGTAGATCATGTCTTGGCCCCTGTACTAAAGACATAATACTAAAAGAAATTCAAATGATGATGTATGCTGGAACAGACACGTTTTCTAATGGCTCCTTTGGATCGATTTCATTTTTTTTTCTTTAAAAAACAAAAATTAGAATTATTTAAAGACAGGTGATAACTTCAGCGGTATTTAGACAGGATCCCAGTTTTCTTCCACTAAATGTTTTTTTTCAAAACAAATTTTAAAAATACTCTCATTTTTACAGCTGAATATATCAGTTTTTCTTGAGTACTAATTCTGATTTTATAGAAAACTGTAATTTACTTTAGCTAAAAATATGTATAATTCCTAAATGATGAATGTATATTGACCTAATATACCAAATATTAATTGAGTTGCTTTTTTGCTATGCTAAGGATTTTTATTTTGATTTTAACGATAATCCAAATAAACATTTTCAAGCAAAAAATAAATATTTTCAGTAGGAGGACATAATTTTTATTAAACCTAATTGAATTGAAATTTCAATTCATGCATCTCTTTTAATGTATTTGAATCCCTTGCCAGTTTTTTTTTTTTTTTTTTTTTGCTTCATGCTTTTCTGAGCCCCCATAAAAACACACTGGCCCCCTCCTGGCCCCCTGGAACATTTAGTCTAGAACCGCCACTGACTGTTTCCCAAACACTGAAGGTATTTGAAGCTTTTCCAGGCTGATGAGCTGCGTCTCACATCATGATGGGCTGTTTAAACCCGAACATAACAGAGTTAAATATGAGCCTCTTATGCAACGGAACCAATTATAGCAGCAGGAATGTCTTTTCTCAGTAATGGAGGGATGTTGTTATGAGAATAGAAGGTGGGACAGTTTTTACCAGATGTCTGCGTTTGATGGCAGGTCAACATGGCCGGGGTACATTTGGGTACCTAGTAGGGCAATTCAATTCAATATATAATATATTTAGCAAAATGCAATTTTCAAATTGCAGAGGCACTCATTTTTAGTCCCATTCCATTTAAAATGAGTAAAATGAATTAGGTACATTTCTCCCTGCAGCATTTAGGCGGCAGTAATCTCCTTAAAATAGCTTTGCAGAACACAGAAGACACGGATGCGGAAAGTAGGAACATTTTCACATAAAGTTTACAGTAAAGTCCTGCAACAAGAACAAACTGAAAGCCTCAATTGAAGCATCTACATATTTGTGCTTAGTGTCAAGGGGAAGAAAATCACAATAAAATCACAATATAGATTTTTGGAAAAATGGTTCAGCCCGAGTACCTAGAGGCATTGAAGGCAACGTTGGTACCAGAACCGTAAGGATGGGTCAGAACCTGCTGGGATTATTTTCCCAAAACATTTTCTTGGGTTTTACAACACTGAGTGCGCTATAGCAGCGGATGAACCCACTAATACCGCTTTGCACTGCCCGAAAAACCTGTTTAAACCCGGCAACAACGGGCTTTTAGTGGCAGTGGGAACAGCTCACTGATGCATGTAAGGCAGGCGGGGCAAAATACAGGGCAGCGGCTAACCTCACCGGGTTGGGTTCGGTCGCTCCATCCTCCGCTGGCTCCTCCCCACCGTCCGCCAGAGTTCCTGGACCAGACCCGGAGCTCACGGCTCAGTTCTGCGCCACTGTAGTCGACCAAAATCCCGGACGATTTTGAAAATTCCCCCCGGACATTTTTTAGGTATTGGATGTTTCAGTGAGTGAGTGCTTATTGCTATGATGTGTCTTTGCTCAGCAGCTTCGCTCGTTGTAAACCAACCAATCAGCGCACAGCTCATCTAAATATTCATGATCATACCATAAAATGAAGAAAACCTGTAATGTCATTCTAGGGTTTTTAACTAGGCTTGCATTAGGGCTCATAGAACAGCAAATATACCATTTTCAGCCCAACCAATGTTACACATTAAGAGACCTTAAGGACCAAATACCCTATATAATCATCCTATGACCCCTTTAAAATAAGAGAATTAGATAAAATGCACTTGAAATAAGGCAATGCAATTGTCTTTTATTTTAAATGTAAACTGTCTTGTTCCTTTGGCAAAATGTCTCTTTTACCTCCTCAATCCGAGAACAAATGCACTTATTTTAAGAAAAAAAAAAAAAAAAGACTTCTCTAGATTTGGATTTTTTCCAGTGGGACTAACCTGGGCAGCTGAGCTTTGACCTGTCTCTGGCACAGGCTGTGGTACCTCTCCACCTTCAGGAAGCCCTGGTTTAGAACACGCTGGCAGATCATGTCCATGCGTTTGCAAACCTGAAGGAGACAGATCAAACAGTTGAGTTTAACATCTACGGGATGTACATCTGATCGTTTCCCGTAGGGAGTGTCTGTTCACCTCTGCAGCAGCAGATCACTGGAAAACTCACAGAGAGAAACTTTCCTTTCATATTCAGAACCAGGCACACAGACATTAAAACACATCTGCTTTTCTTAACTCATGATTTGAT